TCATTTGAAAAAGAAAAAATCTCCAGGATATGATACAATTACTACAGAAACTCTTCAAATTTTAGCTCCATACATAAAAACACCACTTACACATATAATAAATAAAATATTTGAACAGGGATACTATCCAAGTAGGCTGAAAATTGGAATTATCAAACCTCTCTATAAATCTGGGGGAAAGTTACAGATAGAAAACTATAGACCAATAACCCTAATTTCTATGCTTTCAAAAATTGTGGAAAAAATAATGAAAAAAAGGGTTGTTTCTTATCTTACTAAATATAAATTAATATCAGACAAACAGTTTGGGTTTCAGCAGGGGTTATCCACAGAAGATGCCATAGCATACGTAACGGATAATGTTTACAGAAAACTTGATAATGATGAATATGTTATGGTATTTTTTTTAGACCTTGCAAAGGCATTCGACACTGTGGATCACCCCATGCTGATAACTGTCTTAAAAAATCTAGGATTTCGTGGAATTACAGAAAAACTGATAATATCATATCTAAGTGAAAGAAGGCAATATGTCCAGATCGGTAAAACATTTAGTGAACCAACAACTGTGGAGTACGGTGTTCCTCAAGGAAGCGTACTAGGCCCAATCCTATTTACAATGTATATAAATGGCTTGTTAAACATAAATACATTTGGGCTGATCGCATCGTTTGCTGATGATACAGTTATTATATACAGTGGAAAAACATGGAAAGAAACGAAACTACAAGCAGAAAAGGATTTAGCAAAGATAAAGGATTGGTTTGATGAGATGTCTCTGACAATTAACTTTAAGAAAACAAAATACATACCTTTCAGTTGTAGTAAGGCAAAAGCTCCAAATTTCACAGAAATTAACGTAACACAAGCAAATAACTCAAAAGTAACTATAAAAGGGACAGATAATATAAAATATTTGGGAATAGTACTGGATAGATATTTGAAATGGGACGTACATATCAACAACCTAATAAATAAACTACGTGTTATACTTTTTAAATTTAAAAAACTAAAAAAAATTCTTTGCTTTTCACAACTTAGGATTATGTATTGTGCACTCGTTCAATCCTTAATTCAGTATGGGATAGTTGGGTGGGGTGGAGCCTATAAAATACATATTGAAAAGTTAGAAAAAATTCAAAAGGTTTTCCTAAGGATAATGATCAATAAAAATCGCCTTTATTCAAGTAACAAAACATATGAAGAGAGTAAGCTAATGGACATTAATAAATTATATACCTTCAAATTGTTAATATATCAATTCAGATATAGGCACAAACTAAATATGATTGATCACCCACATAATACCCGACAAAAGTTGAAACTGAGGGTTGCAACTATTAAAACCAAAAAGACAATTGCTCAAAGAACAATTTCCTTTCTCGGGCCTTACATCTATAGATTTTTGCCAGATTTTCTTAAGGATGTCACTATATTGAAATTGTTTAGAAGTATTTTGAAGAAATGGATTCTTGAAACTCCCCGTACGTTTTTTAATGAACTAATAAATGGAAAACTCAAATAACATTACTTGCATATCGAGTTGCATATTCAATCTTTAGGTTCAAAGAATTCTTCTTTAAAATAGGCAAATTCTCTTTATGAATCTTGTTTTTTTGAAGTGCAGAGTGACAATGGATTTATACAACATAGGGCTACTGAGGTATTTTTTTGTTTTGTTATTATTTATATACTTATAATTATTGTTGTAAATTTATGGAAATGGGTATGCTCCCTGGTATGCTAAGGGTCAAATTTAGATTGTTTTGTGTTTTCAAGTACTTCCTATGACTACTTATTATTTTGTTTCAACATGTAAACGCGGTCTGCATAACTGAATGGAATAACAAGAAAAGTCTGCACACAAGTCCATCAGGACTTCAGCAGAAATGTTCTTATTTATTTATTTTCCTTCTGGTTACCTTGAAAGTAGTTTTTACAAGATACATTACCTAATTTAAAAATAGTAAAAGATAATAACATTATTATTGTTTATATTTATATACATAAGTGAGTCAAATTAGGAACCTCAAGGGATAGACTGATATAGGAAAAAAGGGGCACACACAGTATTTCAAATACCATCGTGCACCCACATTAGGCAATAGTGTTAAGTATAGGTAAACTATATTGGGTATTTTTGTTATTATTTAAGGATACTATTGTTGATCAATAAATAAATAAATAAATAAATAAAAAAAATAAACAAAGCTGAAAAAGGTACGTAATAAAATAAAAAAATAAATGAATAAATTCAGAACCTACAAAATCAAAAATAGAATAAAGTGTACTTATATGACTTAGTTTACGTAGTCTAAATATATATGAATCATTAAATTACATAATTATAAAATTGAAACACAAACAGTAAACAGTTAATAAAATAATATAAAATCTTACATTTAAAAATAAAGCAGTACATTTACAATTTAACGTCATAGTAAAAAAAAAACACACAGCACACAGAACAGTAAAAAGTATCCATAAGCACACCTTTTTTTGCTTAAATCATGGTTAAAATCTTTCATTGAAGTATTCTTGTATATCATAATAGGCCCTCGCAACGAGCAACTTTTTTACCTCCCTCCTAAATCTCCTTTCCTCATAAATCTCTCTAATACTGACAGGCAAATGGTTGAAGAGTTGATGTCCATTAAAAACAATAGAGTCAGTATTAACACGTTCTCTGCCAACGTGTTTAGAGAGATTTTGCATCCTGCGCCAAGAGGTTTTTTGGATCCAAAAGATGTATTAGAAACGAAAGAAACATGTTTCAACATTTTATGTTATCAAAAATGGAAAATATTACATTTTTGGAAATTTCGGTCAAAATAACCGACGCGGCGTGGAGCGCACAATTTGTTCAATTTGTTCACCTACCCAATTTAGAAAAAAAACCATGTAGGAAAAAATCTAGAAAAAATATCAAAAAGTTTTCATGTGCCATTTGCTCAATAGGCCACCTCGGTCAGGCCCTATACACAGCACCGTATAGCTTGGGACCGATGGCGCTCTATAAGCAGAAATAAAATCGATGAATTTTTCGGTCATAATGACTGACGCGGTGTGGTGTGACAATACACGTTTCTGTCAAAATGACCGAGATGGCAGAGAACGTGTTAAATTTGAAAAACCAAGCGCGCTTCGCGCTATTTTCAAGAAGTACGCTTTTAACCAGTATTAAACGAACTGTGACGAAACTAACCAAAAATATGCAAGCTAACCAAAAATATGCAAACTAACCCGTCCACCTAATTAGCATGCATTAGGTGGACGGGTTTGTTGATATTGAATTTAAAAAACCAAGAATTAAGAATTAGGGACAAATATTAAGAAAAAAATTAAGGAATTGGGTAACTCCGGCTATAGATTCATTCACGATTCACAGTTCAACTATTGATTTTTCGGAAAAAAAAACAATTTTCCGTTCAAACAATTTTCTTTCGAACAATTATTTTTCGAATAATTTTCCGTTCGAACAATTTTCCATTCGAACAATTTTCCGTTCAAACAATTTTCCATTGGAACAATTTTTCATTCGAACAATTTTCCGTTCGAACAATTTTCCGTTCAAACAATTTTCTTTCGTACAATTTTCTTTGGAACAATTATTTCTGAACAATATTCCGTTGACGCTTTTGACATATGTGTTAAAGTCTAACAACTTCTGGTTCCATCGGAAATGACCAATGACCATAGCTTCATAAATCTAAATGGCATCCTAGTATTTTTTAGTAGTTTTGAAATTTTTGGATCATTCTGTACATGGAAATATCAAATTTGAAGCTGTTTGACAAAGTTTGAAATTTTTTTAAAGAAATTTGTTTTTGGGTTTTTCTGATTTTTCTGTAACTGTTGATTTTGGTACACAAAATTGTAGAAAAATGGAAATGCGTTGTTTCCACTTATTTGTCTATCTACTATCTACTAATTTTTTTCTTTCAAATTGAGAGTTAAATTTTTTTATTGAAAATGGGTCTTTTTAGCAAGTTTCAATTTCAATACATCGTCAGCTTTATTTTGAAGCAAGTTATTAATTTTAGATGTGAAAGTTGGGTGGTTTCGGTTTCATTTAATTTTAATAAGTCACCACATAGAATATAATTTTGCCAACTTTGAAAAGATTTGGTAGACAAATGATAAGTGAAAATAATGCATTTCCAATTTTCCACAGTTATGTGTGAGAAAATAAACAGTTTGAGGCAAATCCTGATAGTCTCAACACAAAAACAAATTTTGTTTTAAAATTCTCAACCCGCTTCAAATTTGATATTTCCATATACAGAATGATCCCAAGAATTCAAAACTACCAGAAAAAATACAAGGTTGTCATTTATGATGATAATAACATTTAAGAACATTATATTAGAAATTGCACGAATATTTTTAGAGAGCAAGGAAAAGTAACACATTCAACCACAATTGAAAAACATTATAAATAGTTGGTTGATCAAGCCAAGCACTTACAAATAAACAATAAAAACTTTCATCTTTTGAATTCTAATTTAATTTTACTGTCTCGATTGCTGGGCAGACCTAATTTGCTTTTGATCAATGATAATCCCTCTGGAAAAGTAAGAAACATTTCAATAATACCTACTCAAGTAAGTTTTCTGGACACACTAAAAATAACTGGTTTCAAGAGCATATTTATAAAATTCTAAAAATAGTTGATTTGTATGTTATACGAACATGGTTTATTTTGGAAACTTTACAATGGAGTAAAATATTATTGAACCAATAATTTACTTTGTTTTGATTAATCTATTTATCTGAGGCCTTAAAAACTTATTTTGATTAGAACCTAAACAAAGGCAAAATAATTAAACAATGGTAGAGATTTTTCCAATAAAGGGACCAAGGGTGTAAAAATGCTTTTTGTGTCAGGAATCATGAACATTATTAGATAGGGCCCTTTAAGAGTAAATAATCAGCCCAATCCAATATTATCCACCAGTTTATTTCAAAGTATAAAACACAAATAAATAAAATATACTTACAGTTTGTTCAGAGTCAAGTGGTTCGTGGTTATCCTATCAGTTATCATATTTTTGAAGTCTGTATAAAGCTGTAGTAACTACTGGGGGTAGTTTACAAAAAGGGGGTTTATAAAACCCAAATCTATCTTCCACAATATGTAGAACTGAACAGGATTCCTGGGACAGGAAAGGTTTTAGTTTCTGAAAGAAAATACGATTTAACTATAATGGGCCTGATAAAAGTCGAAGGTCACAAGAGAGGCCTGCCTTGTACATAATTATGAATCCTAGTAATAGGATAGGCGAGGTGGATCAACTCAAGTCACAAGTAAGTGGATCGAATCGATAAGATTGCAAGAAAAAAATTAAAGGAACGGAAATTAAATTTTTAAATAAATAAAATGGTTAAATAACTAAAGGATTGCTGAGAATTCTTTGGATAATTAATTTATTATAGAATATTACATCGAAAATGGCTGCTACGTCGCAGCCAAACCAAAAAAAGAAAGCCCAGTAAATAAGGAAGTATTCCGAAAACATATTTACCTGATTTTATATTAATTATCTTGGAGATACGCTTGTAATCTGCGCGGATTTGTTGAACATTGCTTTTTCAAATATTTTTACGCTTTTAACTTTTCTATTTCCAGTAAAAGATTTCCTTTTCAAATTACAAAGCTCGTTTCGCTTTACTCGCCACAATGAAAATGATTTTGGCAGAAAAATGGCTGCCAAACGGCTGCAATCCTGCACTTCGTTGTTGACGATGGCGCAAGCGCTCTCTGACGCTATTTTATTTAATTTCAAGAGGGTAATTTGATTTTAAATTATTCATAACTTTAATTTATTATTTAAATTTTAGATGTACCTTCCCGCCTTCTTTCAATCGTTTCTAATCCAAATATAAATTTTTTATGATTTCATCGTAGACCCAAGAACTCGAACTCGCCCAATCAATTACCTTTGAGCTTTCAAGAAATTTTATCAATAATTCTAATCAAACGGAAATTATTTTTCATTTCTCAACTGAGTGCACGGCACGAAGGAATTATTAGCGAATTAAAAGTTTTCTTTTGCTCTGCTCTCAGCTCTGAGTTGCGCTGCTGGCTGTCCTGTCCTGTCCTTTTTTGTTTTGGTTTCGAGTTTCGACGTTTCGAGTTTGGACTTGACTCGGACTCGACTCTCGGTACGGCAACACGGAATTGAAGTGAGGTCGGAGCAGATTTTTGTCTCTGGTTCTAGTGTAAAGAGGTACACCCGAACGAACCGGAACTTTTGGAGCAAAATTGTGCTCCACACCAAGCCAAAGCACCAGTGGTGACGTTGCAGGGTGTCGTTTCTCGCTTTGAGGTTGGGTGTTTGCGCCGTTTGCGGGTGTTTGAACCACAGGTTATGATTCCGCGGACATTTGCTTTATGTTTACTTGGTTTTACTGCATTAATTAACGTTCTGAAACAACCTTTTTTTAGATCTCGTTTGCATCTTCCTCTTTGCCTATTGTTAATCAGAATTAAATATTTTTCATTATAAATTTAAATTCCAAACTACGCTGGGGTACAATGTAGATGCAAGGATATTACACGTGTAAATGTTGTATGTCTTATTTTATTTCACTGCTTTTGACCACGCGACCATATACCCACTCTTTCCCTTGGGTAAAATTTAACCCTTTTTCGAACACACTCTAGTTTTTTAGGTTCAAAGATATTGAACCTCCCTTAAAATGGTCGGTGCAAACAGCCAGAAACTAAAGCTCGATTATAGTGATTATACAATACTGCCAGTACTGGTTTGAGTGTGGTTTAAATGTTGAACTAAGCTTAAACATGAGAACTGGTTGTACAAGTATGGTTTATTGCTAAACCTGGTTCAACTGCACGAGTTGAGCCTGGTTTCGCTGAACAGTCGAAAATGCAGGTATAAGTAGGGTTTCCATAAAGGTTTTTCGGAATTCAGGACAAAGGAGTCAAGAAATCCGGACAAAATCCGGACTTCGCCGAAATAGCTATAGTATGGTAAGTGAAAGGCGAATGCGACAAAATTCACATTCGTGAAAAAAGGTTCACTTTACACACGTGGCAAAATTTTCTACTACCAATAAATATGTATATAAAAAAAAGAAATTTAGACAAATACTTTACGTATACTAGTGCGTAAAGTGAAGTAATTTACTAGAAAAAATTACATTGTTGACATCTGTCATTGACATTGCTTCACGCGCTAGTAGGCAATTTTTCGCGAGGATAATCAAGCATAATCTGATTATGCTGGGTTATGTGATGTGTGAACTGTGTCATACTCCCTCACCATTCAATTCTGGGCCTGCGAATTAGGGATAACAAACTATCGATAGGAATATCGATACTATCGATAGTTTTTTAATTTTCGATAGTATCGATAGACCTGTACCAATATCGATAGTTCCAACGTAGCCAAAGGTAAATGAAAACATCTGTATATTGAGGGAATTATAAAGAAATCTGTAGTTTTTTTGAGAAATCTGTAATTATTTTTGGGGATAGACATGCTGTGCTGCCAATTTTTCGGTTAGGAGAAATGACGAGTGACTTTGATGGACTTGATGGAGGTTGGAGGTTAATGTTTATCGTAATTAATTACAAATTTGGTTACTTTCGTCAGAGCAAACTATCGATAGTACAATCGATAGTTACTATCGATGGGTAGGCCATTCTATCGATATCACTATCGATAGTTTTTTTTTCGATAGTTTGTCAACCCTACTGCGAATGACGTTACTACCAGCAGCTTATAGTGATATAATATCGTCACCCGCAGACCACGATGGAATGCTTGCGATTCAGGCTGTGCTAGTGAGTTAACTTTTTCGTCGGTTTCAAATGTAGAAAAGGTGATTTTCGGCCTGTTCTCAAAGAAGAAGTTAAGTGTTCTTGATCCTCGAGTATCCCAGAATTTGATGATGGGTGAGTTAGGGGAGTATGACACAATTGACACATCACATAATCCAGTATACTCGAGTATGCTTGGTTATCCTCGCGAAAAATTGCCTAGTATGTAAACTGACTTACTTTACGTACTAATGCGTGAAGTAATGTTTTACGTCTTTTGGATAGTGCGTGTAAACACTGTAAACTGAGTATGAGTGTTTTCACGATCACACCGGCCGGACTTCCCCGGACACTCTAAAAACCCAAACATGTCCGGGTAAATCCGGACGCATGGAAACCCTAGGTTTAAGCCTAGTTTTTCCATGACATGAGCCCAGAAAATTAATTTTCAAGGGCTGCGTTCAGGATTGGCTACAGCCAAGCCAAAATTGGCATTTTGCGTTCGAGTTCGGCTCCGAACTACGTGGTTCAGTTTTACCGGTGGAGGGGGAAAAGTAGGTTTTGGCATTAGCATTGCCGTCCTTGAACGCACCCAAGAAGTACGCTTCGCTTATTTTCTAAAGTAGGTATCTTGAAAGGGTTGAACAGGCCCATGGCCAAGGTGCCTAAAGTTAATAGGTTGCCTCTGGTAATGCGTGTAACTTGATGACGCATCTAGGGTACTTTAATAAAGTTATCCAGGCAACCTACCTCTCTCAAACCAAACAACCTTGGCTCATGGCCTCTTGTTTTTGCTTGTGAAATTGGGTTCTCTCTTTGCCCATTTTTAATCTTTATTCTCTTCCTGATTTGTTCCACACAGGCCTTATCAGGATAGGCTATTCTGTAGTCAAGGCTGCCATTTCGGTACAATTTTTAATGATCCGGAAAAATAGTCCCGATATTAACAATGTCTTTACTGTAAAAATTAAATGTAATCAAATAATCAAAACTGAATTTCCTGTATTTCAAATCAGTATCAATAAATTGAGAAGGAAACAAATTAACGTTCAATATTATATTAGGTATTTCGTCATCAAGCCTGTGTCATCATCTAAAATTCCTTAATTAAAAGCAAGGCCATAATAATTAAATCGAAGATTTATGGCACACCTGTGTCGGGTTTCTTTGTGTTGCCCTCACATTCTTAAACTTAAGTTTCTGACCTCTATAAATCACGATATTACGACATAATTATTCGATTTTAAACAAATAAAAATGACAAAAATTTCAAGGAGATTGCATCATCTCAATTGTTATGGAAAAAGAAATTTTGGGGGGATCGAATAATATAAATACAGCGGTTTCAGTTGAGTTCATCAGTGGTCAGATGAGTTCGCAGTCCAGTCCAGTTTGAGTTAAAGTCTACAGTACCTAATGTGTCAGTACTGTCAGTCCGAGTAAAAAAAGAGTTTCCTTTATTATTGCCTCGGAAATAGTCTTTGAAATAGTAACGGAAAATTTTGAAAGAAAGAACAATTAAATTCGTTCAAAAATTATGTGCGTGCTCTAGAGATTTTGAAGTAATTATTCAAGTATTTTATTGAGTGACAATTTAAATGTAAAGTATGTTTTTTTTTAAAGATAATTCCCCAAGTCAAAAATTTAGTAACTATGTTGGCAACACAAGCCTTTTCTACGTAAAAAATTTGAAAGCATTAACAATTTTACATTGTATTGCCAACATAATGTCATTTTGACTTTTATCTTTAAAAAAAAACAGATTATCAGTACTTTATTATTAATGTTTTTCTGACTTTTAACAATGATTCTGAATGATAAGAAGTGAATTGACAATTGACTTTAATGCCTGAAAACTTGAGTGATTTTGACTAGAAAAACTTTTGACTTTATAATTGATGAATGACTATGAAGTGAATTAACTTTGGAACTTTATTGCATAAATAGTAATAACTCGAGTGTTTTGACTATGGAACATTATTGCATAACCTTAATTGCCTTCGAGTATAATGACATTTCAATTTAACTTTGCAAATAAATTATGAAGGGAATTTATAATGCACTTAACAAGAATCGATTTTGAGAAGGATTTATTCATTAAACATTTGGGTTTATTAGCTAGGCTAGGATTCCGAAAATAGTAATTGTTCTGATAAAAAGTTTTTGTTTGAAAATTGTGGTTCATGTTGTAACATTGATGATAAAGTGATAATTGATAATAAAGTAATTTGAATTAGGTTTTTATTTTACCTCTGTAGACTTAGCCCCCCAAATTAAATTTTTTGACTTTTTTTACTCTCAATCGTTTGATAGTGATTGATAGTCTTGAGAGATCGTTAGATAGGGATTTTTTCTAGAGTTATCATCAATTCTTTTTTTGTGTGTTTTGTCAGCCCCCCCACTTTATCAAAAATCAGTATTTTTTTTTTAAATGATTCGTCACGACTGTGCGAGGTTTGATAGTTTAATATCAACATTTGATAGTTGAGTTTTCATTTATTTTTCATCAAACAATTTTTCTTTTTTATGTTCTTAGCCCCCCACTTTGTCAAAAATTATTATTATTTTTTTTAAATGATTTATCACGACTGTGCGAGGTTTGATAGTCTTGAATCGTCATTTATTATTATTAAGGTAATTTCTAATAATTGCATTTTTTCTAAATTTACTATTTAGTTATGTATAGGAGGAGCTTGAGAGACCGTTGCCAAAGGTATCGTAATGAGTGCTAGTCTTTGTTTGTTTGGCTGTATTTTGGACGAAAATACCTAATACAAACTAACCTGTCCCTATCATAAGGTCTAATCTAATATTTGTATGTTGGTATTTAAGACGAAAAAGGCTAATCCAAACTAACCCGTCCTCCTAATGAATGGCAGTCTTTGTAAGTT